AATCTTATCAAGGGCATATTGGTTACGTTGGAACAGCCATCCCTGGAAGAAAAACAGGGCTTTCTACTTCTGTAAAGAGTTACAGAGTCATGGAAACCCACGAGGCGGGTTTATGTCCTACGAGGTTAGGTTGCCACGAGTCAGAATTGACTTGGTACCAGTGGGTTTGGTTTATTTTTTTTGGTAGCGAGATTGGGACATTTTTAAAGATCTCACTGAGGCAAAGGACAATTTATGTTTTGAAATACCAGTGTCTGGCAACTTTGAATCCAGTTCTGTTTTTCTTTTAACGGAGACACAGTGTTTGCAGATACGCTTACCTTGCTTCTCTAGAAAGAGGGCTTTTAGTAATAAGGAAGCTGTTTTGTTGATTCTGACTCGTACTGACCTATAAGACACCGTGGAAGTCCTTAGCAGGGCTTCTAAGGCTGTAACCTTTTCAGAAATAGATTGCCCCATTTTCTCCTGTAGCATGACAGGAGAAACCCTGACCTTTTTGTTACCTTAACACACTCCACTACCAGGGCGCTTCATAATGAAGAGAGCATATGAAAAGAAATCATTTTCCTATTCAGTGGGATTGTTTTAGGAATGTGATCCAAGTACTGTGGCATTTTTTTTTTTTTTTTAATGAGACTGTTCTCAGAAAAGCAGCCCTGGTGGCATAGTGGGTTGGGCTGCTCACCACCAGGTCAGCAGTTCTAACCTGTCCCCCGCTGTGCAGAGAGAAAGAGCGACAGTTCCACTCTGCCTTCTAGGGTCCCTGTGAGTCAGAATCCACTCAATGGCGGTGAGTGCTCTCAGAAAATCTGTACTTTTTAAGTAGAATAAGACAGTATGATGATAAACTATTTTAAAATAGAACTGGGATCAGAAGCCATGTGTTTCAAATAACGTCATTGTGGGCTCTCAGGGAAGAGAAAAAAGGTTCGTTTAACATTAAAATACTTGATTTCTAAGTATGATAAACTGTATGACACAGAAAATGTTAACATCTTACACTTTGATTGATTATGGAGTCTCTGAAAGACCCAAATTGATAATCTGAAACTTTAACATTTTGTTAATGTTATGCCATGTTATTTATATACTCGATATTTTTTGCACTGATGTAATTTTGGAATTCTTTCTTTATAGATGACAGATTGTCTGAGATTTCTGCTCTCTCTGCAGCTTCTAGTCTCCGTGCTTTCCAAACGCTGGCACGAGCTCAGGAAAGGAAGGAGAACTTCTGGGGCAAAACATAATTAAAGACATGGCATTGGTATAATTGGTCATTATTGCTTGCTGTATTACTATTTTTCAAGTGTTTGGGTATTTTCTAACATTCCCTCCTTATCAAGAATGATTTTATTTTTCAATAGTCAACAATTTACTTGGAAAATTCTTACACAGATTATGCAATTTAACTTCTAAAGAATTCTTTTTACATCTATCCCAAAGTTCCAAGAAGAGAGGGTTACACTATTCTTCACATTTTCTAACTTGTTTATTAGGTCTTTGGGATAGTTATTAGAATTGGGAATATTCTACTTATCTAGGGAAAAAAAGCTAAAAGGATGAACAGTGAAATAAAAATTAAGATCTAAATTTGAAGTATATATTCTGTTATGATTGGTTATGTGTTTCTTCATAAATTTAAACATTATAAAAACGAGTTTGTTGTTCTTTTATAGCTAAAGGATCTATAGTTTTAATACCTTCTCTGTGTGATTGTAGTATTATTTAAGATAATTGTACTGTAGATTGAAAATATTAGCTGTATATATTTTTATTTATGTAATAAAGTTTGCTGAGAGAATATGTATATTTTTGATCCATGTGTGTATTCTATTTGTACAAGAACTTTGGCTTACATTTGAATAATGTCTGAATTTGAAAAATTATTTGTACAATGGAATTAAAAATTTGTAGACATTTTGAAATAAAAATTAATCAAGTGTATTTGCCTTCTCCAGAATGTTATTAAATTGAGCAAATACTTTTAGTAGTAATTGAAAGTTAAAATTTCAAAGTACAAAGGTTTGTTCACAATATTTTTGCACAAATATGAGATAATTTGGACTTTCAAGGCTGGCTTTTATTTCCCCCTCAACACATAATGTTGAACTCTTCATTTATAAAGCATGCTATCATAAATTACATTAAGTTTAACACCTCAGAAAATATAGATTTCATAAAATACTGTAAAATATTTACATAGGAGATACTGAAGATTAAATGCACCAATGGTTAGAAAACAAGGGAACTATATCTTCTAAAGTGTTTAATTTGGTCAAAAGTAATTCTACAATCAATTTACAATGAGGTTTTAATGATTTTAAGTTCTGTGAAATTGAAAGGAACTGCGAGCATTTAACTACAGCCATACCTTGGAGAGAATTGTGGGTTCAGTTCCAGGTGACCGCAATAAAGTGAGACACGTGAACTTTTTTGTCTCCCAGTGCATATAAAAGCTACTGCTGCTCATGATTATGGGGTTTATTATGGAAGTTAACAAGTTAGATTACAATTCGGATGAAAAATGCGCAGGATCGGGACATGTTAGAAAGCTCCTTTAGGACCATGTACAGACTGGACCAGGACATGTAAGTTTAGCTTTTGTATGCACTGGGAGACATGTACATAGGTATCGGCAAGCAATAAAGCTCACGACACATGGAACCCAGGCACAGGAATGGGAATAATGATACCAAAAAAGTCGGAAGAAGGGAACGGATCACAATGAATGGCACATAAGCACACTCCTCATTCAGGAAGAACAACAGAAACCAGAGGGGAGGGAGACTGGTCTGTGGGGGATATGAAAATAAAAACAATCTATAATCGAGGGGCCACGGGGGGAGGAGGGGAGAAAAGAGCCAATCCCAAGGGCTTAATGGAAAGTAAATGTCAAGAAAAGAACGATGGCATATGTACAAATATGTCTGATACAATTGATATATGGATTGTAACAGTTGTAAGAGCCCCCAATAAAATAATCTTAAAAAAAAAAGCTACACTTGCATGGTACTCCCTGAGGTGCACAACAGCAACATGAAACGTGATATGAGGATTACCAGATATGCGGTGAGCATGTGCTGCTGGAAGCGTGACGTCCATCGACCTGCTTGATTCAGGATCGCCATGCAAGGTCCACGTGTTTAAAGCGCTGTGCTGTGAAAGCACAGTTGAGCCAAATGCAGTAAGATGAGATGGACCTTGAAGCTTTTCACCAATGAAAAACGTACATTTTCTTGGCACCAGGAAAACGGGTAAAGAGCCATATTGGTTGTAAAATCAAGTTTGGAACAGTTGTCTCTAGAAGCTCTGCTATTATCTTCCTTAAAGATTGGTTAGGACAGTTTTCACCTGGAGACCTCTAATGGTAAGTAAAAAAAATAAAATAAAAGGTGGTGTTAGAGCCAGCTTGCAGGGAATGGTCTACAGACTAAAATGCTTCCACCTATTAAAGTCACAGCACATGGATGCTTGGTCAATTAAGTGTGGTTCTCATAAGACCAAGCTGATGGCCCCATACTCTGCATGACAATTTAGCTGTGCAATTAACAGTACTGACTACGTCATCCTTTAAAATCCAACTCAATTATCTTACATGTTATGTACCACAATTTAAAGGAGTGGTTTATGGGAGAGAATAGTACTGAGGGATCAGTGATGCTCAAGTTCCTGGGCTTAAGAACAACATGTGATTTAGTTGGTAAGTAGCTGTCCCCTGTCACACAGCACACTCCTTTTACAGCTGGGTTCTGTAATTCATTGCAATAGCCACAAAGAAATCAAGACGGTGTTCATGATTTGTGGGGTTTATTGCTCATGATTTATGGGGTTGATTATGGAAGTTGATAGGTGAGGTTACAATTCAGGATACACTTATTCAATCAGGACATGTTACAAAGCTCCTTTAGGCCTGTTAATAAATGCCCCAAGGTCGTGCCACTCCACTGTAAGCCTCAACCTGAAGGCGTCAGCTCCAGCTCCATGGCTCAGCAAGCCCTGCTCCTTCATTGTATGCAGTGCCCAGAGGCACCCTAACAACTTGATGGGTTCAGGCATAAATATACTTGTGAAATGACCACCATAATAAAGATGCAGAACATTTCCATTTCCCTAAAAGTTTCCTTGTCTGTTGCAGTCATCCCTCTTAGAACCTGGGGCCCAAGATACCCACTAATCTGCCTTCTATCAGGATAGTTTGTAAGGATTTTATGTTAACGGAGGTATCTCTTATTTCTGACTTCTTTCACGTAGCATGTTTTTGGCATCATCCATGCTGTGGTGTAAATGTTCCCTTTTAGCCCATTCACCTGTTGGTGGACATATGGGGGGGCTTATGGGTTGGGGTTCTGTTGGACAAAAATGGTTTTAATTGTATACAAATATTCATGTGGCTATTTGCTTTCTTGAAGATCTTTCTTGGTCAAATCAGTCTTAAGTTTGCCCGCCTTTACTTAATCGATACACTCTATCCCCAAACCAATGTGCTGATGATTGACGCTGTCTCCTTGTCTGAGTCAGAAGATCTCATCCACCAGGTCGGAGAGTGGACATCAGCATGGCCACGCGAGGTTCTCCCAACATGCACAGACCTACTCCCTTTATTCCTCCTTGCCCTCCGTCTCCTTTCCAGGTGCGTCAGTTCTCACATGTCTCTGGTCGAGGACCTGGCTGAGAAGTCACAGATACGCAGATGTGGGAGGCTTTGAAAGTCATTTCTGGTCTTTGGAACTCATTGGGCCAGAATTCAAGTCAAGAACCCCTGAAGGATGATTTTGAGAATTAGCAATCAAGAGCAAAACAAATAGGTTTGATACACTGTAGGATATTTTATCGTGTGATTTAAGAACCAATATCCTTATTTTATGGATGGGAAAATAAAATGTAGCTTAAATGACTGGACTAAGACTTTATAAACTGGTGAATTTAATCTAGACCTTCTTACTTGAAATCCACCCACACTGTCTTGTCTTGAGGGTTAACGATACCCTTTTAAGCTTTACTGTGATTCAGTTCTGTCTCTGGTTGATTCATGTAGGAGCTAATTTTCCACTTCTCCTTTTTAGAAGACAAGTGAAACACCTGGGGTTTTTTTTCAGTCACGGAGAAAAAAGTATGTGGACATTGAACAAATACATTATTGTACAAATAGATCCACCCAGAACAAAAGTGAGTTAACACTCCACCCAAGTGTGTCCATACGAAGAGTAGTGCTGCCGTTGGCAGCCTAGGCATCTCCGAGGACTGTGTGTGTGTGTTGTAGTGCCACTTGCACGGAGCAACCACCCATTAGAGAGTTGTGTTGACTTCTAGAAGGGCACCCTCCACGGGAACCGAGAATCTAACCTGGTAGGGAGTCAAGAATCTTTTATGCTGGTTTTGGAAAATTAGTTTGGTGTTTTACACATGGTACTGGTGGCCATATTAGCATGCTTAATCTTTGGCAAATTGCCTTCTCTCGGCTTTGATAGGCGAGCAAGCTGTACAGAGTCAGCTTTAGGCAAAAGAACACCCTCTATCAGACTTAACTAGAATGGTCCCCATTAGGTCCCCTGTGACCTCTTCAGCCCTGTTCTGGCAAGCGTTTATGTTAAAGATGCTGCTGCACACTTATCTGGTCACATATGCCTTTGTTCTATAGTGAGTGGAGACACAGAAAAACCCAGACTTTGGCTCTCAGACTCAGAATGGAGGTTCCTTTAACCTCTTTATCTCATGTTTTGTTCCCATTCCGGTCATGTGAACTCTGCCAGCGGTGATAGCTTCTCTCAACCCGGGGTCAGCTCCCCTCTCCTCTTACACCTGTCGTATGGCAGGTCTGGAAAGAGTAGTCATCCTGATGATGGTACCGGCTTCGTTCCTATCATCAGAGGTCATTGATAAATCCCTTGTGCCCCAGACCTCCACCATAACCGCCTCTTGGAAACTGAGTAAGATTGAGGACTAGAGGACGCAGCTCTCACTGTGAGTCAGAGCATGAAGCTTACAGAGTGATGTTCGGAGCATTCACAACTACTCACACCACAGAATAGACAATTTAGACGATGCTAGGACATTGTTCATGGTTCCCCTTCTGTCTTCTACACTCAATAATATGCAAACTCATGCTTGCTACTGACCATGAACAACCTGCTCACAAAAACCCCTTAAATAATCAGTGTTCATAGGGGCCTTAAAGGCAGTTACCAACAAGGAGTGTTTGTACCATGGAAATCAGCCAACGTTACAAATCAGAGCTTCTTGCCTCATGGAGAGCCATT